CATAGGGTGCTGTATCAGAGAAAAGTATATTAGCAATTTGAACATATGAATAAGACCAAGAGATGGATGGAACTGAAGCAAAACATAATTTGCCTCTCTTTGTAAATTATAGATGCCCTCATCGCATTACAAGACTCTGCAGCTTGTGTATTAGTGTTCTTTATGTTCAGTTCTATGAAGGAGATGGGCTTGATGATGGATTTGATTTTCAGGTTAAACAACTTTCACTATATTATTCTAATAGGATCCCTTTGCGAGTTCTATAGTTGAAGGCATTGTTTCGAGTCACTACAGAGTAGTGATAGAGACGAGTGAGCATTGTCACTGATGTACCAATGGAAATCAATAGATAGAATGTTTAGGGTTGGATTCTAATTTCCATATAGCTATTGCAAATTATTTTGTTTTTTTTTATAATAAAAAAAAAAAATCAGTCGTAGGTTCATAATTTTGTTCCCAGACATTTTTTTGGTTCCAGAACTTAGCCTATAAATACTACTTTAACCTATGATCCACCCATAAGTTTATTTGTTTTTTTTTTACGTGTTTTAAAAATGTTTTGAAATTTAATTATAAATTGTAATGTGTTCATAAGAAAAATGAAAATAGACAGGATGAGTAAACAAACAGATTTTGTTTTTAAAATTAAAAAAGAAGAGAAGTTAATTTATTAAAGGCAAAAAACATAAAATAATTACAAAAGTAGCCGATGGTATGTCATTAACAAATAAATTATTAAAGGTAATACGTTACCTGCGTCAAATTTTGATGGATCAAATAATTTTCTAACTATTTTATTTTTGTAATCATTAAATCATCAACAATAATTAATCAAATTTGAAGTTCGAAAACTACACTGTAACAGAAACAAATGGGCAGATGTACGGTCCCAATGCGCATATTCATTTCCTTCATCAATTGTTTGCCGGAAAAGCTGATTAGTGGGTATCCCCCACCATTATTTTTTGATTTTGTTAATGAGGAAAAAGCAGAACAGCCCAATTATTTAACTCTTAAAGGTGTAATAGACAGGTAGAGAACTTACATACCAAATTACTGATATGATGAACTCGTCCTCAAATAATGGAGTTCAGCCACCTTGCATCAACCACCAACAAGATTAAAGCTCAAGAAATGTTGATCAATCGGCCCACCTGTTCGAAAAAAAAAAACCTCCAACCGAGAATGATTATATCAGTTAAGCTCTAACTTTAATCAAAGGGACTCATAACTTCTTAGTTTGTAATCAAGACTTTCTAACTCTAAACAATTTTGAGGAGTGCAGTTCATTTACAGATGTCATCACAGAATGATGACAATGCAATAATATAGCAATTTCAATTCTAGTTAGCCGACCCATGCCCTTTAAAAATAGGGAAAATGATGAAAAGTAAATATGGGGGATTGAATTTGTTAATGAAAAACACAGCAAGAAGGCGCTTTACCCCAGAAATGGCAGCTCCAGTGATGTCCAGTTTTGATGTACCCCTGCTTTAAGGTTACCACTACAACAGCCTTTTCCAACAAATACTGAAAACAGTCTAGAAATTTTAGTTGCAAAAGCACAATCATAACGACAGATCATTAGCGCTCATTTGAGTGGAAGATTGTCGAACTTTATGTACTAAACAAAATCTTGAAAGCTATAAAGCTGAACCAGTGTCAGAGAGGAATGAGAGGTTGAAAGAGTTCGGCTGACAGATTACTCATTTAGAGCTTATGTTCTAGCAATATTTCTGAAATTGTTTAATCTTGTGTCAACAACCTAGCTGTCTACAACAGATCAAGCTGTCAAATATCATCATGATCATCACAATGGTAAGGAAGTTTGAAGTATAGAAGCCCCCTTTAATTCCGATTTTATTCAGCTTGTCAGTTATAGAATTGTGAGTGTTGTGTATTAAACCCCTTAATAGCAGGATTTGTTGAGTTGAATATGGGAAATGAGATGGGAAACAATAACACATCTGAATTTAGAGGTAATTTTGAAGTCTGAATAGCCTGGGTAAGACTAGTTTACGACATGTATAATCGTGTTTTCTGTTCTATTGATGCAGAGGAAGAACAGGCAAGAACTGAAGGTCCAGAACAATCTTTACTGGAAGGTGGGGCCAACGAAGTCAAAGCGGATGAAGTTGCAGACTTCAGCCAAAAAGAGGCTAGGCCAGGTTCTGATGGTGCAGATAAACTGAATGAAAATCACCATGTCATAGAGAAAGGTCTGCACAGAATTTTAACATCTCTGTTATAGATAAATTCTAGTATTCTAGAGTCTTATCCAACCTACTGTCCCTATATATTTATGCAGAGGAAGAAAAAAATAAAGAATGTAATACGGCAGAGTTTCATGTGGTTTCTGAAAAGCTACCAGACAGAACTAAAGAGGACAATGAAGTCCAGGCCAACTCTAAAGAGGATAAAACAAAGGAGTTTGATTCGGAAGAGAATAGATCGGATGGAAATGAGCATGAGCATGAAAAGCAGGCTTCAAATCAGGAAGGTCAGCAGAAGTTCCCTTACTTCTGTAATTTAATTGTATGTAGTACTAGTAAACTTCGTAGCATCTAATCAATCGTTTTGTCTGCTCCAAATTGAAACAGAGGAAGAAGGGGAGGGAGTTTCCAATTTGAACACAACAATACTAGCATTAGATGAACCGAAACCTGAAAAGACTTCAGATTTCAAAAGTACTCAGCATGAATTGCTCAACATTAAAGCCGAATCTTTCATAGAAGATAGCAACAAGTCTCCAGAAGAATGCAAGGATGCTTTGGGATTGAGTTCGAACGACACTTACCATTCTGCAGACTGTGCCATGGCAGATTCAGAAGAAACCACCAATATGGATCGAGTTCTCGGTATTGGCCGAGGTATTGATAAGGAAAATGGAGTGAGGGGAAAAGGTTCAAACTTCGACATGATAACACAGGCATCAGAAGATCCAAAAACTAAAAAGATTTCAGATTTTGATGCTGATCAAGTTATTGATACTGATCGAGATGCAGATAAGGAAGATGATAGAGAGAGGGGTAAAGGTTCCAACTTAGATCCAAAAACTGAAAAAACAACAGATTTTCATGTTGATCAAGTTCTTGATACTGATCGAGATACAGAAAAGGAAGGTGATATTGAGAGGCTCAAGGGTTCAAACTGCAATACGATGACGCAAGCATCAGAAGACCCAAAATCTGAAAATTTTTCAGATTTTGTTGCTGAGCAAGTTATTGATAATGATCAAGAAAAAGGTGATATTGGGATGGTCAAAGGTTCACACTGCAATACGATGACACAAGCATCAGAAGACCCAAAATCTGAGAACTTTTCAGATTTTGTTGCTGATCAAGTTATTGATAATGATCAAGAAAAACATAATGAAAATGATGGAGCAAGGGGAAAAGATTCCAACTTTGACACGAGAAAACAAGCATCAGAAGATCCAAAATCTGAAACGACTTCAAATTTTGATGCTGATCAAGTTATTGAAACCAATCAAGATACTGATAAGGAAGGTGATGGACTGAAGGAAAAGGTTTCCAACTTCGACATGATAGCACAAGCATTAAAAGATCCAAAATTAAGAAAGCCCTCAGATTTCGATGCTGATCAAGTTATTGATACTCTTCGAGATACAGATAAGGAGAATGATGCAGAGAAGGGAAAAAGCTACGATGTCAAGACGTTACATGTACAGGACGATCCAAAATCAGAAAATAATTCAGATCTTAAGTCTATTCATCATGAATTGCCTGAAACCAAGGCAGAATCATTGGGGGGATCAAGTGATGATGGATCCGTACAAGAAAGCAAGTATTGTTCCGGCTCTAGTTTGGAACATACTGAGGAGAATGGTCACGTCATGTTCACAGAAAAATTAACTGACGTGGACTGTTTCGGCGCAGAGGCAGAGACAGATATGGAGAAGAAAAAATGTGATATAATAGAGCCAAGGGCATGCCATGAATATACAATGCCAGCAGCCAAAATTGTCGATACTAAAGATGAAGAAATTGCGATAGATTTGATCGGTCATAATACTTCATGTTCACAACCAGAAGAGAGTATGGTGATAGAATTACCGAAGTCATGCATGCAAGTTCCTGAGTTTGAAAACAGATGCACGGTTTTGAAAGAAAACCCCCAATTAAGAGAAGAACAGGGAACTGAAACAATCGTTCAAGACAATCCTCCAACTCAATCTAAGATTTCAAATGAGGTCCAAGAGGAATTTAACACGATTAGGTCGCACTCCGAGGAAAATGCAGCTTCTGAATCTGTTGTCAGAAACCAGAACGAGACTCCTGGAGAAGATTGCGAGGATTCAGATGGAGAATATCTGGAAATTTCTGAACAAGTTATGGAAGTTTTAAATTCATCTATTGGAGATTGCAAGCAGAAGAATGGGGGGATGGGAGAGACAACGGAAATTTCAACAAACATTGGACATGAAGGGGAAAGACGAGAACCAAAGGAAAACTTATTTGAACCTCTTTTAGGGCTTCAACCTCAAAGCCATCAAAAGGAAGCTTCGATCACATTTCAAACTGGAGAAAGTACAGATGAATCAATCTCAACACTGAGGCAAATAACCGAAAAAGCAACTGAAAAATCCAAGAAAAACTCCTCAGACTCTCCACATTATATACAAACAGCTTCAGCAACATTCACGGAAACTAAACCATCGACAAATCCGATCGACGAACAGAATGTAACAACACTTCCCCTCTCAACATTCACAGAGGAAAATCAAGAATCTCCAGGAAGAACAAGCAACGAATCAAATTCCGACAATTCAGTCGGTCATATCGAAATGCGTAAATCGCCTAGCTTCAATATAGATATCCAAAGCGAAGGAAAGACAGTAGAAACAGAGAAAATTCCATTGTTATACCAGATCAAGACAATCGAAGACTTACAAAATCTGCAGGAGATTAGCTTCCCAAATCCAACGGAGAAGCGAGTTGTAAAGTTAGGAAGAAGCGAATCAGAGAAATCGAGACCTTCATTCCCAGGGTTCGCAAAAGAAAAAGAAAAATCGGAGATGGAATCCACCGCAATCAATCAACATAAATTAGGCGCCACTAAAAACGCAGTGAAAGACTTACCACCACCATCGCCGATTCGGAAAGGGAAGCGCAGAAGCAAATCCCTAATCTTCGGAACCTGCATCTGCTGTGCTACTGCAATCAATTGATCGGATTTTCTCTCGAATTCAAATTTCTGAGTGGTTTTTACTGGTTTTATTCCCTTCCTGCTACGGTTCTACAAGTTTGTTCGCACTGTCCGTACACTTCTCTTCCCGCCAAATTTACAGGTCATCATCTCATCTTGTGGTTTAAATTTGCATTTAATTCTTTTTCTTATTTGGATTTGTTTGTGAATGCAATATAGAATTTATTAAATATAATGTTTTATTTAATTAAATTATAGCCAAATATAGTTTATAATAAACATTATTTAATGAAATTAATAAATCAATACGTGGAGTAGAAGGTGATAAAAATAAATCAAATAAATTTAATTCTCAAGAACACGCGTCTTGAAGCTGATTGGATTGGATATTTGGATGGTCCAACAAGGCATGGTCAAAGTCAATATTCACCAAATACCCTTTTAATATTTATTATGATGTAATTATTACCCTAAAAAAACATATTATAAATCTTTTGAAAAAAAAATAATAGAAGTACATATTTTTCCATATTTTAAATGACATTTTTAACTCAAATTATTTAATTTTACTTTCAACCTATTCAAAATTCATAATTAAAATATTTTTTAATTAATCAAAATTAATTATTCTTTTAACTCAGTAACAGATAAGCGGGGATCCGATTTTAACTTTGTAGTTTGAGATATAATACAGATAGAGTTATTTTCGAGTTAAAATGTTAATATTAAGCTAATTTGTTTTTAAATTTGTATTTTATTAATGTTATTAAAATAATTTTATTTTTGTTAATTCACAAGTGGAAATTTTAATATGAGAATTAGCATCAAGTAGCATATTAACTTATCTAAATATTAATAAAATAATTATTCAATGCCACATCAGCTTTTTTATAAAACTTTTTTTGTTAACAAACTTTCGTAGGAGGACAAAATTGTTTTTTTTTATTTGACTAAACAATTAAAAATTGAAAAAAAAAAAATCGTAGACCATATTTTATATTTAGACTTTTATTATTTATCTACCAAAAATAATTTTCATAAACTTAGGGATCAAAACAAAAAGAAAATACCACAAATAAATAATTATGCAAAAAGAAAAAACAGGAAATAAATTAAATTGTATGAAAATAAATGAATTGGAGTAAGCTTTTTGGTCCGTTGATGAAAGGCTAGTTTTAATCATCATCCAACGGTCATCATCATCTTGACGAATTCATCAAAATTGACTTGACCATCACCGTCCAGATCGGCTTCTTCGATCATTTGCTTCACTTCGTCATCTGTTAGCTTCTCCCCGAGATTGATCATCACGTGCCTCAGCTGTACATCATTAAATTAAACAAATTTCAGCCGTTGGATTTTCCACTGAAAATCATTCAACTTTATTAAATATGAATTATAATTTTTTTAAAATTAGTGTTTGGGAGGAGAGAAAATAAGAAAGAAAATGTGGGAAAATTGTGAAGGAAGTTTGGGGATTGTTTGACGATAAAATCCCCGTCAACTAATTTAGGAAATGATTGGGTTTATAAACAAAAAAATATCCTCCCTTAATATGATGTATTTTGGGGAAGTCCAAATCAAAGTCACTAACACTCATGTTGAAAGTGAACAATATCATACCACCGAATATGAAGAGTTGTATTCATATATGGTGATATCAAAGTCTAAGTGCCAATAAACTGATAAATACTCAAACATCGAATAAAGGACTCCAAAAGAAAAATAAATCGAGGAGTCAAGCCTCGATCGTGGAGAGTCGTATTTGTCTATCGTCAAAATGGGAAGAAGAAAATTGACCTCAGTAGCTGAGATGAAACCATTTTGATCTTTGTCGAACACTTTGAAAGCTTCTTTAAGTTCTTCGTCTGCATCAGTTTCCTGTTCAAAAACAGAATCAAGATTCAAACATTTTGACTTTGAAATTGTCGGAACGACATGTCGTGAATTCGTTGGTTTGGTCGTGTGTTCAAACCTTGATTCTGTTGGCCATCAAATTGAGAAACTCAGAGAACTCGATGGTTCCATTACAATCGGTGTCCACCTCCTTGATCATATCCAGCAGCTCCTCCTCCGTCGGATTCTGATCCAGCGACCGGGTCACCGTCGCCAGTTCCTCAATCGAAATGCAACCTAAGAAATAACGTTAATATCGGAAAAGGAAAGCGGAGGAGAAAGAAAGGGGACTCACCGTCGCCGTCTTTGTCGAAGAGACAAAAGGCTTCCTTAAACTCCACGATCTGTTCTTCACTCAGTATTTCCGCCATGTTTTTTTCTTTCTTCAAACAGAGGATTTTCCCGGGAAACAACCAGAAACAGAGAGGAGAAAAAGAAAGGGGTGAGTTGGGAATAGCGGAATCTGAAGTGTATTTAATTTAAAAAAGAAATTAAAAGCTACTATTAATGAGAGTCAAATTTAGGTTATTTTGTAGAGAAGAATTTCCAAGTCCACCACCAGCTTGACATAATGGACAAACTTTAGCAACTTGTACGCATTCATATAAAAAACATATATAAATATCCAACCATATCATAAATTTAATGTCTTCTAGAGAACCATTTAAAAAATTAAAAAAAAAATAGACGGAAATTCCTATTTTTAGAAGATAAAAATGAACAAACACGTGTACACGTGTACACGTGGGAGACTTGTGTTTAGATAAAAGAGTTAAAAGGTTCAAAAAGGAAGACGTGGAAATGGGGAATTGACTTTCAATTCAAAACCCTAAAATCAACCTTTGTCGGGACATAATTATTATTATTCTTATTTCTTTTTGGTCTTTGCGTGTTAAAATTTCATGACGACAATTACATTTTACCAAAACTTTATGACGATAATTATTATTAATTCCGAAAAGAAACCTGGAAAATAAGAAAATGCCATAGTATTATCAACTAATTTATTATAATATTTAATATTAAAAATTATTCTCAACGTACATTGTAACCTATTTTGAACCATAAAAAATCAAATTATAATCGAGTGGAAATTTAATTCCGAGGATTATAAATAATCCATTAGTAGTAATAATGGTCGAAAGTAACCTTCCACATTAACTAATCATAATCAACTAATTATATTATACTTAATAATTTTATAAGTAATACATTCATTTAATTAACTTTTATTTGTAGAAATGAATTACGTATATGTTTAAATGTTAATTATTTTGGTAATTAATTAAGTATATTAAAAATATAATTAAAATGGTAAACCAAAACCTCAAAGCTTTTCCCCTCAAAGCTTTTCCCCTCAAACCCACCCACCCACCAACCAACCAACCAACCAACCAACCAGTGATTAGGCATAAAAAAAAACCGATTAAAGATTAGAACTTGTGATTTAAGAGCCGACAGATTACTGTTGGATGATGAAAGTCCCACATCGATTAATTTAGGGAATGGTCATGGGTTTATAATCTAAGAATACACTCTCCATTGGTATGAGGCCTTTTGGGAAGCCCAAAGCAAAGCCATGAGAGCTTGTGCTCAAAGTGGACAATATCATACCATTGTGGAGAGTCGTGTTCGTCTAACAATTACAACCTGAAGAATCATTTCCATCCACATCAAAACATAGCTACCGGAGGAATGTCAGGGGAAGATGGTGACGTGAATATCTCCGGACCGGGAGGCCTCGGAGGCGGAAACTCCGGTGGCGGCGGAGGCAATATGTCCGGTTCCGGCACCGGCGACCCAGGCCTTGGCGGCTCTATATCTGGAGGCTTATGGGGTGGTATGGGTACGTCGATGCCTGGAGGGGATGGAACCGGCGGAACTGGAAAGTCGGGTCCGGGAGGCAACGGAGACGGTAATCCAGGAAAATCCGGCCCGGGAGTTATCGGCGGAAGCTCTGGCGGAGTGATCGGGTCAATCTCTGGAGAAGTCGAAATTTGAGGAATTTCGAGGGGGACAGAAGGCTCCGGAATGGGGCTCTTTTGGGGAAACTCCGGCGAGTCCCCGACAAGCAGAAAACGCGAGAGAGGCGCAGAGTTTTTAAACGGGAGGAATTCGCCATGGGAAAGGAACGAAGGGATCACCAGATTGGAAGAGGAAGACGAAGAATAATAAATGGGAAGCGTTTTCCTTATGAGAGTGAAAGAGAAGGGTGAGGTGCAGGACATTTTCACGGCAATGAAGATCTCTTGTGGAACGGTTCGGGCTTTGGTAACAGAGGAGGAGGAAGAGGGGATGAGCGAGTAGGTGACACGTGTGCAGACACTTGGCAGGTTATGCTTACACGTGTGAAGTTCTAAAGTGCCGGAACCCTTGCCTTGCCGTTTATACTCACACGTGTCCCCATCTTTGAGCAGAAGAACATTTTATGATATGCTTCGTTCTGCAGTTTCAGCCACGGCACAGCGCCCTCCATTGGGTTGAAGTAAAAGCAGAAGCGGAAGGTCTCAACAGCCTCCATTGAGAGCAAGTTAGAGTGTTCTAAACATTGGTCAAATCGACCTTCAGCCTAGATCCCCTTGCCTTTCCTTTCAATTTTACCATTAAAAGAAACCACTGCAGGTCTGTGAGGCATTTCAACAAACAGGTAAGGGGCATGAACTGGACATTGTCCACTTCCAAACCAACAAATCCTTGAGATTTCAGGCTCATTGTAAAGGGTATTTTATCCATCACAACACAGATTCAAAAAGGAAACGAGAGCTCAAAGAAAAACTAAAAGGAGAGAGAGGTAAAGAAAAAAGTATGTTATAATCTGTCAGACCGCCCTTGCGACCATCCCAGCTAGGGCGGGGCCTCGCCGAGAACGATCATCTACCGCCGCAGATCCGATGGATCGTTAGACTGTTAATCACGCTCTAGCCGCAGGGCAGTGGTTCATCCACCAGATTATGATTCTTGCCTCCTTAGAACTCAAGGACACAGATGTACAACCTATAGAACAGATCCTGTTCAAGTAAGGTCGTGTCCTAGTGCATTCATATTTAGGTTTAAATATTGTTATACTTATCCCACATTTTCCGATGTGGGATATCTACATCCATCAAATCAGCTAATTTACCTCGGAAAAACAACGGTTCCGTAACAATTTTCCTTTTTACTTGTTCACCGTATAATAAATTTAATTGTTATCATTGCGAGGAAAATAAAATTTAATGTCTATAATTTTAAAATATAATCAATTCAGCTATTTTTTTGTGATTTTATTAAATCAAACTCTAATCAATTTTAAAATTATGATGTTTTCTAAACTATATAATTCCAACATTGGTCTCTAAGAACTTGATTTTCATCGAAATATTGACAAGATTGAAAAACTTATGTTGCTGGCCGAAGCGGCTCGAGCAAGAAGCTAGATTTCTGGAGGTGGTTCTTCTTCTCTCTGTTATGTTCTAGACTTATTCATTTCCGCTCAATCTGATTCATTTTGGTTCCGTTTTCGCCAGAACTCTTGCTGGGACCCAGCAAATCCAGCTAGGGACCGATGGTTCGAGAGCCCGAACGATTCAAAATCGATTCCAATATCGATGCCGATGCTGGATTTTGTAACCATCATTTTAACATTTCCGGTGATTCTCATTTGGGACGAGGCTTGCAATTCTTTTATATCGATCTATTTTCTGTTAACTTAGTACACAACTTTCTGAAATCAAAATGGAATTGAAAGAGGTATAACCACAAGATTACATGGAAGAATGAATCCCACAAGCAGGGAATATACCTCTTATCAACTCGGCATTTTACTGGTAACTTGCTGAGCAATCCACCCAAGACCGTCGTATAGACCATCTCCGGTGAGGGCAGAGCAGGCTTGGATGTGCCAGTCGTGATTCTTGATGCTGTGAAGCGAAAGAGCATCGGTGATTTCGACCGGAGTCATCGCATCCTTAAGGTCCTGTTTGTTTGCAAAAACCAGCACCACAGATTGCTGAAGATCATCGTGACCGAGTAGTCTGAAGAGCTCGTCCTTCATAATGCTGATTCTTGCTCTATCTGTGCTGTTTATCACCGCAATCACAGCATGAGTTCCACGGTAATATGTTGCCCATGATGTCCTAAGCCTCTCTTGACCACCGAGATCCCATACCTACAGAAAACAAAGCCAAAACAACACAGGTTTTAGCTATTCAGCTTCGCCTTACAAAATGAAGAACAGAGATGGGTTTTGTACAAAGTTTTGAATATAACTGCATGGTATATGCTTTTCCAACAATTACTCTGTGTTTCAATTTCCTTTGTTAGGCAAATAAACAAGCCAAATATAGAGGAAACCACATTCAAATCACAATGCAAATCATGTGATATTTTGAGAAGTTACCAGTTAAATGCTATAAATACACTAACTCACAAAATCAAGTGACAACTCTACACCAACAGGCCGGAGCATTCAAAGATCTCAAAGAGTCCAGTGCAAAACCACACCAGCCAACACTCTGAAGAATAGAAAATGGTATGATATTGTCCCCTCTGTGCATAAGCTCTCATGACTTTGCTTTCGGCTTTTCCAAAAGACCTTATACTAATGGAGATGTATTCCTTGCTTATAAACCTATGATCCTTTCCCTAAATTAGCCAATGTAGGACTCACTTCCAACAATCCTCCTCTCAAACAAAATACAACCTAGAGTCTTCGAATAGCCTCCTCTTAATTGAAGCTCAACTCCTTCTTGGAGTCCTCGAACAAAGTACACCCTTTATTCGATACTTGAATCACTTTTGACTACACCTTCGAGGTTCACAACTTTTTTGTTCGACATTTGAGGATTCTATTGACAAGACTAAATTAAAGGCATGATTTGGTATGATATTGTCCAATTTGACCGTAAGCAATCATGGCTTTGCTTGGAGCCCAAAAGGCCTCTTACTCATAAACATTTATTTCTTGTTTATAAATTCATGATTTCCTTCGACAGCGATCATAAAAGATAAAACAAATAGACGGAAAAATAGGAGTAAATTGATAGATCGACTGTACCTCGAATCGGATATTCTTGTACACGAGCTCTTCAACATTGCTTCCAACCGTAGGATGTGTAGTAACAACCTCTCCCAAGTGCAATTTGTAAAGAGTCGTCGTCTTTCCGGCATTATCCAACCCAACGACCACGATTTTGTATTCTTTTGCCGGAAATAACATGAACCAGAATCTCGAAAAGAAAGCCCCCATCGTATCCCAAAATCGCCTAAATGCCCCAAAAGTGAAGAAAACATAAATTCCTCATCAACAGCAACACGCAACTTGATAGCTAAACAGAAGAATAATCACCTAGAAAAGAAGAGCTACTAAATCCAATCGGACGAACGACAAATCACAGATCCAGATCCGAATTGTTTCAAATAACGAAAACCGCTAAAAATGAATAGAGAGTTACCGAACCTGAATTAATCGAAGCGGGAAATCGGATATCGAAGCGCAAAGTACAAGAGCTTTACAAAAGAATCGATCAAGAAGCAGAAGAGAAAACCCTAATCTCGATTCAGAGATGAAATTTCCAAGTTTTGGGGGCAGCGATAATATTTGGTCGGCAAGTTAAGGGAGCTTCGGCGAAGGTGATGAACAGCAAAGATTATTTGATCCATCGTGGCGGCTGACGTGTGCATCCCACCATTACCAACTCTTTGCACTAATAATCACATAACAATATTTTAATGTTTTCCTTCCCAAAAGTAAAATAAATATTTTTTATTTTTTATTTTTTAATTATATCCTGCGTGGTTGGGCTGTTATTTGATGGGCTCAATCTTACATATTGAACCTAGATGTGGATGTGGCCCAGCCCAATAAAGCAGGGCCCGATTCGTTTGTTCCGGCCCAGTTGTAGCTAATTACTTGGATGAAATATAGGCGAAATTTATATGAATAATCATATAAAAAAAAATTAAATTAAATTAATAAAAATGCTTCTATTTTTTTTGTACCATGAATATTAAACTTTAAAAAACTAAAATTAAAAATCACGCTCCCACAAACCAATAAGAGTTCTTCTAACCTGCTTTATTATCACTCATATAAGTCTCAGGAACTTCCTTGGAGCATATTTAGTCATCGTATACTCAATATCACTCTTATTCGAATATAGTCTCGGTTCATTCATATACTTCCTTTATTCGGGTCCAACATATGAACTCTCTATTTCTTTATGGCTTTTCAACCTCTTCTTTACCATTTTGATTTACGAGATTCTTCGCATCTAATCTCATATTCATTTTAGTTTTCTTTCTTTATTCTTTTCCATCCCTTCCACTCCAAGAAACTCGAAATCATAACCCCTTTTTTCCCTTCACAAGTTATGTTGTAATACCTTTGAAGAATCTTCAACATGAATACGAGTGTGAATAAGAAATCGTGCTTGTTTTTTTTCGTTTTTCAATTATTTAGTTCTTGTTTATTAATTATTTTATTTGAATTTGATTGGATAATCCTAATTAACAAATTAGATAGTGATCACATCTATATCATATGCAATGGACCCAAGTTTTGATGGTGAATTAGGGATGCAAGTTGTGGGATGTTGAAATACAAAAGGTGTTTGGGTGTGACATTTGAGCCCCACATAGCAAACTTCATGGGTTGTTTTCCCTTCCGTTCCACTTCACATTCACATTGACACTGATGGTCAAGTAAATTAGACAGTAGTCAAAGTAGATAATATCACACCAATGTAAAGGGTCGTTGTTCTTAACACTTATACGACATTCAAATGATATTGATAAGGTGCATCTTTATTTTCAGTGGCTCAATAACGAAGTCATGCCACACAGAACAACAACGGTTGTAACGTTTAGAACAAAAAAAAATCTAGTCTTACATGAAATTTGAGCCATTTAATAACGGGACCCGCTTTTAAATCCTGGTGGGGGCCGAGTGGCCCGTTTGCGTATATCGAAAACGGGGCAAGGGCTTATAAAAGAGAGGCTATTTTGTCATTGGTAGGAACAAAGCCAAACCCATCATTTCATTTCAATTTTATATTTTTCATACACATTAAATAGATTTCCTCATCAAACAACTTTATGTCTTCATCATTCATCATTCATCATTCATCATTGATCCTCATCCTTTTCTTTTTAATTAATTAATTTATTAATATATATATATATATATATAATGGATGATGCAAGCTTGTTGCATTTGTGAAGGACAACACAATCCCTCACATCTCAAGGCTTAGTTGTTAATCACTTTTATTACCATAAAACCCTAATTAAATCCAAATCATAGAAATAATTAGCAACAAGAATAGAATATAATAGGTGATGATTAAAGAATATTATCTTTTTAATCCCATCATAGATGTGCTTAAAGAATATGGCCATTTAATCAAAATCTTTATTAACCCAAACCATATCTTAAATATATAATTAATCCATTAAATCATTTTCATTTAATCTTTTTGGTTATAGTGGGCCCACCCCCATGTGGGTTTGGCTTCTTCCTTTTTCTTCAACTTTTTCCTCCCTATACTCATCCATTTCCCTTTAATTCTTATTTTATTATTTCTTACCTTATTCGTCTGCTCCGAAACATATCTCTAAGAAAAGGTTTCCACACGTGGGATCTCACAATCCACTCTTTTCGAAGCTTAACGTCGTTATTGACATTGTTCTCTCTATGATCTCACTGTTGGATGGTGCAAATCTCACATCGACTAATTTAGGGAATGACAAAGAATACTTTGTCCATTGGTATGAGCATGAGAGCTTATGTTCAAAAGTGGACAATATCATATCATTATGAAGAGTCGTATCTCACAATAAATAAATAAATATATATATATATATACACGCACATACCTATATATGTAAAGGGGAAATAGGGCAAGAGGTTGAGAAAATTCATGTCATGGGACATTGATAGATAGGATTAACCAATTGGCACATTAATTTGGTTTTGGTGGTTGCTTGGGAAAATGACATTGTTTACTATATTTGGTGGTAGCTTCTTCAGTGGCTTCTGGAATCCTCCGAAAACGTCGTCGTTTTGAACTTTCATGTCATTTTCAATGGTTTTTTTAATTTTATTTTGGATTGGGTTGGAATTTTTGGTACTCTTTTTAAATTAAAAAAAAAAAAATTAATGGGGATGTAGAAAATAACATTATTATTATTATTATTAGTTTGCATACATAAATAATATAATTATTGAGGGTGTCTCCACAAGGATTTGACCCCTTATCTACCATGAAATATAAACGACATTTGGTAGGTCCAATGGGCCCAATGGGCCCAATAATTAAATCACTACAACAATGGAAAATGACACTCATCTACTTTAATCTTATTTCATCTAATTCTTCTTTCCATTTGGGAAATTTCCACTCACAATGATCCATAAACCTATTGTCATCTTATCATCCTCTTTTTTTTTATTTTCTATTTCTTGTAATTGACCTATTACCCTTTCATTTTCATTATTTTGTACATTTCCCCCAACATACCATATTCATTTATAATCTTTTCCATTACTTTTTCGTCTATAAAATAAACATACACGACAAGATTTCACTTCACGCTTTTGTTTCCTAGGTTTTACAGCTACTTACTGAAACTAGTTGTCCAGCTCAATTCTAATTCTCAAATTACCTAAATAATTGTAATAATTACTTAAACGAATTAATTAGTTAATTAAAAACATAATAATTGATCAGATGAATTAATTAGTTACTTATATATTGTGAACAAGTTAAAATTACTCAAAGATATAGGTTATGAAAAGGAGCTCGAGGAAATTAAATGTGGTACGCTAGACTTTTGAACTTGGACCATTTGAGTATTGAAAAAAAAAAAGGTGGGTTTTTATATGTGGTCCTTTGGTGGGTAAATATATAGAGAATAAGGTTAATTTAAAGTATAAAAGATTATGAAAAAAATAGGGTGTGACATAAAAAAGGTTGGGCCTTTAATATCCTAAAATAATTCTAATTCTTACCCACTAAAGGAAAATAGATGGAGGAAAATACCCACTTTTTATTTTTTTATTTTTTTTATTTTTTTTATTTTTTTATTTTTTTTTTTTGGGTGGATTTTAGGGTTTAAAAGTCATAAAAAGAAAAAATAAATAGATTGTGAAATTGAAGGCATCTCAAAGTGTCCAAAAGCTAATGACAAGCCCATGTTCCCAAAAGCTTTTAAAAAGAGAGAATGATGAGATTCAGAAAAGAGTGAGAATTCAATAATTTCATTAGACATCATCAAAAGAAGTTCACTAAAGTGGCATCAATGCCTTTGCCCCCATTACCACCCACAATTCACCCATTTCCTCGCACAAATCATTCAAAATTGGTCGATAATACGTGTATATATTTTAATCAATTGAAGTATATTCAAAATCTGAAACTTAATAAAAGGGAGGGGAGGGAGGATGTTGAATTAGAAGTTGATTTTTGTGGAAGCAAACAATGAGGCTAACCTGACCATGTATAGACCCATGTGTTGGTAGACCAGATAAGTTGGACCCTGGTCATGAGGAATGCTGACCGTCTATATGTAATGACCATGACCTGCCTAACCTTATACCCTATGTTTATGGTCCTTTATTACGTTATCCGTTCCTTTAATAATTCATTGCATAATCCATACCAAAATTATAGCCTTCATAGATTACGTAGATGTCTAACTTTTAAGTTGATCGTATGCATTTTAATTACTTCAATTATATACATATTGTCTATTTTTTTTCATATATTATTGATCAAAATGTTAAAAGTTCAAATGCTCTGAACACAGCATCTTATTGAATTAGAAAAGGAACATGTATTCTGTTACATAGGAGTTTGTACACGAGTTGTGTTGGAAAATCTTTTGGACGAACTCGAAATTCAAGTTGGTTGGTAACCCAACAACCAGAATGAGTTTATAACTCATCGTGATCTTTTATTTTTAGGTTGGATTTGATTATGTTATCGGGTTTTTAAAAATTATTTTAAAAATATTATAATTATCCATAGTACATATTATATTAATAACTAAAATATCAAACTATGGCATCTGAATAAAGGTGAAGTACCGAGAATGTGAATTTTTCTTTTAAGTGAATCAACCATAAGAAATCCTTGCCAAACAAAGCACACTTTCTAGAAATTTCCATGAGATGCATGTGAGTGAGAAGTGAAGAGTATATAACATGTGACCATGTCATAAGGGAAATGTCGGGGCCATCAAATGCCAAAGATTCTAAATCCAATCAACTAGAATTTTTTAGTTAAAAATAATAATAAAAATAAATAAATTATTTAAACCATTTCTCCCGGACAATAATATTAAATCCGACCATTCTTATTGTTTAGGTATTATTTATTCAAAGAAAATAATTAAAACATTTATTTCAAAAGGTTGACGAGGTAGGCCAACCAAAATTATTTTCACCCGTGTTTTTAAAATATTATGACTTTGCAACCGAATATTAAAAAAAATATTCATGGTAAAACAAAACATTTTCAACTGTAATTATGGTAAAATAAAATAATTATTTAAATTTATATAAAAAAATACAAATTAATCTGTCCAAAGTCTTTTTTTTATTTGTTACGAAACAGAAGACGGTACAAGAATTAATTTTTAATTAAATAAATAATGAAGATCTCTATAAAAAGTTGCTTTTTCAACGTCTTCCTA